GGGAGGGTGGGGAGGGGGCAGCTTTAGGGTCATAGACATCATAGAGGTAGGGAGCGGAGAGCCCTGGGGAAGAGGGAGAGCGGGGCAGGCTCTGCGGCCCCACCAGCAGCGCCCTCCTCCCTGCCCACAGCCCTGATCTTTGACGGCAGCACCAACCCAGCCCACCCCAAACACATTGGCAGCATTGACCCCAACTGCTGCGTCTCTGACGTGGTGAAAGGTGAGCCATCCCCACTGTGCCTGGTCCACAGAGGTGACCCATTCCCCAAAGGGTGGGGGCCACGTCCCCATGGGGGGGTGCCCAGTGTTGGTGCCAAGAGGACTGCCTGCTGGGTAAGCCACCCCATTCCCTGCATGACCTCTCTCTTCTCTCAGATGCGTATGACATGGCCAAGCTCCTGTGTGACAAGTATTACATGGCCTCACCTGACCTGGAGATCCAGGAGATCAATGGTGAGTGAGCAAGGCTGTGCGTCTGTCTGTCCAAGGGCTGGGGACATGGGAAAGCAAGGTGAGTTGGGGAGTTAGGAAATGAACTGTAATATGAATAGGGGAGTAGTAGAGCTATTATTATTATTATTATTATTTATTTGGTAAATGCAGGGGTGGGCAAAAGTAGGTTTACAGTTGCATTGTGATGTTCTTTTGAGTTAACAAAGCTATTGTAATAATCATAACCTGCATGTCTTTGTCCATATGAACAGCTGCAAACCTGTGTTTATTCAGCAGTAAACATAACAGGCAAGGTCCCTTTCATTCTTGGTGCTGAGAGGTTGAGGAATGAGGCCTTTTCCAATGAACAAATAATAAGACACTTTCGTACCGTGAGAAGGGAAGGGAAGGAAATACAGCGGGCTCACGTGGCAGTGAGGGGGAAGAGCGGCGGATTAGATTGGCTGTTAGTTAGCTTGGCTGCCTTCCCAGAATCCAAATAACAGTGGCTTGATTCCGAAAGAGGGTTCCCTCTCTGCAGCCAGGAGAAAGGGTAGAGAATGTGGAAGGCAGGGCCCAGCAGTTGGACACATCACTTCCCTAGGTTACCCCGCTACCAGCTGCAAGGGAGACGGAGCATTTCATTTCTGGCTGGGCAGCAATGTGCCAGTTAACACTTTGGGGGAAGGGGCATCTATCAGTGAAAGAAGAAAGGAAGAATGGATCTGGAGGACAGTGACAGGCGTCCTACTTGGGATGGGGTAGTCGGGGACCAGTAGAGTGGGGCTGGGAGATCTCAGGGATGATGGTTTGAAGAGAGAGCCTGGGGCATGCAGGGCCTGTGGGCCGCGGACAGGAGCTGGGATTTTATTTTTATTTTCTTTTAATTTTTATTTATTTATTTACTTTTTTTTTTTTAACATAAAGTGAGGAATCTTACTTTGATTCACAATTTCCTAATTTTTTATTTATTGATTGATTTCAGAGAGAGGAAGGGAGAGGGGGAGATAGAAACCTCGGTGATGAGAGTCATTGATCGGCTGCCTCCTGCACTCCCCCTGCTGGGGATTGAGCCCTGTCCTCACTGCCCAGCACAGGGCTTGAGATTCCTTCATTCATTGATCCACTGAACATTTATTGAGCTACTGCTACCTATAAATCTCTGTGCCAGACACCAGGAAAAAAAATACTTAGTCCCTAACACCAAGAAACTCCAGGCTAGAGTGATTCTTGGGAAGCAGGAGACTGGTGTCAGAATCACCTGGGCAGCACCCCCATCCTCTCCCCCCAGGGTGAAAAAGCTCTCCAGGGGATTCTGATGTCCAGGTGAATGCTAGTAGGCTGGATATAGGATAGATAGATACTATTTGATGCATAAATGAAGAATAGATGAATAGATAAGCAGTGAATGAATGGGAGGATGGATATATACTTTATGAATGGATGGTAAGGATAGATGTTTGAAGGACCATTGGATGGTTGAATGGACACTGGATGGTTAGATAGAGGAATTAATGGATGTTGAATGGAAACGGATGGATGGATGGATGGATGGATGGATGGATGGATGGATGGACGGATGGACACTGCATAATGGAAGGATACCATATGGATAGGTATTTGAATGGACACTTAATGAATGGATAGATGGATGAATGAAAGCTGGGTGAATGGAGGCGCAGATGGATAGATAATGGATGGTGGTCGAGTGCTGGGTACTAGATGCTGGGTGAATGAATGCTGATTGGTGAGCTCTTGACAATTTCTGATCATTGATCTCAACTTCCCCGGCAGCATCCAACTCCAAACAGCCAATTCACATGGTCTATGTCCCCTCCCACCTCTACCACATGCTCTTTGAACTCTTCAAGGTGAGGAGGCTGGGGGATGGCACTTTGTGGGATTGGGGGGCGGTTAGGGCTGGGCTTCTCTCACTCATCTCTTCCCTCTCTCCCTCCACAGAATGCCATGAGAGCGACGGTGGAAAGCCATGAATCTAGCCTTGTTCTCCCACCTATCAAGATCATGGTGGCCTTGGGCGAGGAAGATCTGTCCATCAAAGTATGTGACCCTCAACTTTGGGGGCCAGAGAGCAGTAGGGGGGGCAATTCTCTTCTGCCAGGAGATAGGCTTAGGAAGACCCTGGGGGAGATCAAGGGTATCAAGGGGTAGGGGGTTATAGAAAACAGGTCTGGAGAGCCCCTGACGTCTCATCTCCCCTAGATGAGTGACCGAGGTGGGGGTGTCCCCTTGAGGAAGATTGAACAACTCTTCAGCTACATGTACTCCACAGCACCCACCCCCCAGCCTGGCACCGGGGGAACCCCACTGGTGAGATGGCTTCATTCCAGCTCCCCTCCTGCCTCCCAAAGGATCCTGTCTGTCTCTTCATCTCCTCTTCCCAAATTGTCACTCCTCCCTGTCTCTTGCTTTCTTATCTCCCATGGTCTCTGCAGTCTCACATGGCTATGTGTGATGTCAGTCACCTCTCCCAAGGCTGGGCCTCCCTGCTCCTCCCATCTCTGCCCTGCCTGCCCCTCCCTTCCAATCGGTGGCTGGCTGCTGTTGCCTTTCCTCAGTTCTCCCTCTCCCTTGCATCTCCCCACAAAGTTACTACCTCTTGGTTCAACTCATTAACACCTTCCTGTCTATTCCCAGTGGAGTAGGCAGAGCTGGGTTTGGAAACTGAGACTCAGAGGAACCCTGTGACCTGCCCAGACTCCCTTGCTACCAGGGCCTAGCTTCTCTCCTTGCCATGCCAACTCCCCCCACACCCACTGTGCCTCCTCAGCTTTCCTCCCTCCCCCAGACTGACCCCATCATCCCACAGCTCCTGTCTTGCCTCAGAGCTTCCCTTTTTTGTGTCCCCTCCCATCTAAGTTCTGGGAATCCCTTGCTTGACCCCAGCTCAGCAATCCTTATTTAGCAATCTGTCCTGTCGCGCCAGCCTCCTCATCACACTCCCTTCCTGTCCCCTGGCAGGCTGGCTTCGGGTACGGACTCCCCATTTCCCGCCTCTATGCCAAGTACTTCCAGGGGGACCTGCAGCTCTTCTCCATGGAGGGCTTTGGGACCGACGCTGTCATCTATCTCAAGGTGAGGGTCTCCGCCTGCAGAGTCCTGCCAAGGGTGGGGTCAGGCAGGATCAGCCTGCTGTTAGATTTCTTTTCCAATCCCTCCAGTCCTTTCCCAATTCCAGGCTGAGAATCAGAGTAGAGCTACAGTTTCCCAACCTCCAGACGCTCCCAACTTGGCAGACAATTTCAGGGAGTCCATCGTCCATGACTGAGACCACTGTTCTGGGGATGCTTGACTTGTTAGATCTAGAAGGAAAGGGGGGACCATAGAGAGTTTGTCATTCAGCTCAGGAGGAGATGGAGGCCCAGAGCTGGTGACCTTCAAGATCACACAGCCCAGCCTCCTCTCTCCCCCTCCCTGACCCTTTGAGTGAGCAGTCTCCTTGAATGGGCAGGAACAAGACACAGACAGACAGACCCTTTTGAAGGTCTTCCTGGGCCAAGGTTAGTTGTCTCAGCCAGTGTCTGGCACTTGTCTGGGCTGACATATGGGCCCCAGTCAGTGGCCACCACGGCCCACCTTGGGACCAGGGTGGTCTGCTGAGGAGTGGGCAAGGCACAGGGCAGTTGGAGTGGAGAGGCTGAACCTGATGCTCCGCAGGCCCTGTCCACGGACTCAGTGGAGCGCCTGCCAGTCTACAACAAGTCAGCCTGGCGCCACTACCAGACTATCCAGGAGGCCGGCGACTGGTGTGTGCCCAGCACGGAGCCCAAGAACACGTCCACATACCGTGTCAGTTAGGGGCTACCCCACTGTTCTGTACCTGAGAGGATGGACTGCTTGCTGTCTTTGGGACTGGCCCCCACGGTTACCCTCCTCATCCCCTGCCCTCCAGGTGGGGAGACTCTCCCTGATGACCAGCTTCCGTCTCTATGGAAATCCCTGCGGTGACCAGTTGGTGGTGGCCCCTAAGTGCAAATCTCTGTCTTTATAGAGATTCTGTGGAGGTGGTCTCCCCAGTGTTCAATCTCTGTGGGTGATCCCTGAGGATTGGGGGATGTCTCCACCCTGCTGGGGTATCCCAGAAATACGTTCCCATGGCAGTCCTCTTCTCTGAGACCAGAGCTGCCATTTTTCTGCCAGGGGTCCTGGGTCCCCCTCACTGCCCTCCACAGCCTGGCCTTCCAAACAGATGCCCCTGCTTGCCTTATACCCTTAGTCTGCCAAGGCACCCCAGCCCTAGTCCCGAGTCAGCATTAGGAAAGGACTTGGTGCCCCCAGATCAAGGTGGTAGGTGAGGAAAGGGGTGGACTCCTGGGTGGGTACCTGGTCTGGCAGCCTCTCCCTCCACTCTGAGCTTCAGGTCAACGTTAGGAGGAAGGGAGTTACCAGGACCTCACCCCTAAAGTTTACCTCTAGAGTGGAGGAATCTGGGAGGACCCTGAGGTACTCGCCCAGCCAGGCTGCTCGAAGCCCTGCAGGCGGCCCAGCAGTGTTTCTGCCACCTCCCAAGCCCTTCCCCGCATGTCCTCACATGCACACACCCACCCGCCCACTTCACACCCACACCGTCGCCTGAGCTTCAGCTCCCAGCTCCCACTGTACACGGACATGTGTGCTTGGGGTGGCTTTCTCCCTAGAATGCTGTGTGTACATAGCTAGTTTTATAGCCCTGAATATCCCCATCCTCCCCCCTAGCACACGGGAGGTTAAAGTTGTGTGCTTCTCCCAGTGGCTGTGATGGTGACAGTGACATCCACAGTAAAGAGATCCAATGAGAATTTGGCCTGGCTGCTTTCCTGGGGGAGGGAGATCCACACGGACAAACAAAAGACAAACTATAGACTGCAGCCCCTGTGACCAGTATATGACATGCTTGGGACACCCAGACTGCTTAGGGCTTGACTCAGTGTGTACTACGAGTACAACAGCAGACACAGCCATCCATTCAGAACCTGACAGCGCAGCACCCAGGGACAGTCACCCCACCACACTGGGCACAGCACAGCTGCCTGACCCAGGCCACCCCCCAACTAGGAAGGCAGAAAGATCACTGGCACATCATAAGTGTTTATTGAAATAAATTGAGTACTGCCTCCCCCTTCACATGCAGGTGGGCACCCATACAGCTCCTGATAGTTTCAAGGACCTGGGTGCCTTTCAACCTCCCCACCAGCTCCTCCACCGGGCCCAGGTGGTGCCATTGCCCCCATATCTCAGTTTCCCTCTGAAGCCCCTTTCCCAGCACAGACAGCAAAGAGCAAAGGGCTGGGTCCAAGGGCCAGGGGTGGCCCTCAAACCACGGGCCCTGGGCAGGAATGAGCGGAGTAGGCATGCACTGGGTCCCATCCACCACTCTAGGCAGATGGGAGGAGGTAGAGGGGGCTTCTAATCAGAGGCCCCATGGCCCCATTGTTAACTCTGGCCAGTGCCCCAGAAGCTGGGCTAGTTTTATAGCCCCAAATGCTCCCTCCCTACAAGGACAGATGCCATCTGTGGGCTACTGGGATACACTCCATCCCCATGGGGGTAGGGGCTCGCCCCACCCCTCCTTGTAGTCAGAGTTGGCACTGTCTTCCAGTTCTGGGGCTCACTGAGGCCCATTGGGGACCTGGGCAGATAGGGGAGGGCTGACCCTTCCATTCTAGCAGCTGCCAGGGGACCTAGACTTGCCTCTGCCTGGCTAGGGTAAGGATTCTCCAGTTCAGTCCCACATAGGCATTGGTAGGGGGTGTCCTTTGTTTCTACCAGCTCCTAAGTTTGTTCTGTCCCTAGGGAGGGCTCAGGTGCTCTAGAGGGCAGCAGGAGGAGAAGTGGGCCTGCCTTAGAGAGCAGGCCAAGGTGTCGGCCTTACGGCCCCAGGAGGGGCAGACTTGTGGGGATGTCATCTCATCATTGGGACCACAGGACAGGGAAGGGGAAAAGAAGGAGGGTTTCATCCTTCCTTCTCCTGAAGTCCTGCAAGGACCACATGGGACAACCATGCTGCTTCCTCTGCTCTCCTGTTGAACAGGTAGACTGGGAGTCTACCCTGAGTGCAGCTTGTTGCGGTGCCCACTGGCCCCCCTGGGAACAGAACAGAGCTTCCCCCACACACAGCCACCTTGGAGAGCTAGAGAGGAACAACTCCATCCACCTACACCTGCCGAGATGCTCAGCCACCTCTTTGAGCCCTGAGACCCTGGGCCCATGTCAGGGCCTCTGGAGGCATGCTAGCTCACTGCCAGCCCCAGGCCCACTGTGGCCTGAGGACAGAGGGTCAGACTAACCTAGGTACCTCCAGGCTCCCAGACTGGCTTCAGCCCTGGCCTCTCTGCCCTCTCCCCATAATCTGCCATCTCCCCCAGGAACTCTGTGCCAAATGAGTCCTTGAAATCCATTTATTACTGGGCCCTCTCCCTGGGTTCTCCCTTTCTGAGGGATCTTGATCCAGACAGAGGGACAAGGTGAGGGGGCATGTACCCCCTGAGAGCGTGGGGACAGGCCAGCCCAAGCTTGGCGCCCAGGCTCTGCTTCCCTGGGGAGACCTGTGCCCGCCATGCCCGGTGGCTGCCCGTGCCTGGGTGCCATGCCTGCCTCACTCTCCTCTAGCTCTTCTTGGCCTCCTGCTCCCTGCGCCGGAGCTTCTCACGCTGCCGGGCAGCCTTCTCCTGGGCCTTGCGCTCCTTCTCCGCAGCCGCTGCCAGCTCCTTCACCTTCCGCTTCACCAGGGCCCGGTCCTGCGAGCTGCTGAGCCCCAGGCTCTGGGGGAGGAATCAGAGGGTGAGGGAAAGGGCCCCCAGAACCGCTCCAAGTTCTTTGTGCTCAGTTGTACCCTCTCTGGAACACAACCTGTCCTCTTTGAAGTGTAGCCTCCACCTCCCAGACCTGCCAGTAGATCAGAATCCTTGGGCAAGAATTCGGAATGGGTGTAGTTGGAAGAGATGAGGGTAGAGAGTACTAGGCCCTTTACCACCACCCCACCTGCTGTCCTCCACTTCCCATAATCCTTGGCTCCCACTCTTCCACTCAGAATTTCAGCGGGGACATCACCCTGATGCCCAGAGATGGGGAGTAACTTGCCCAAGGTCACACAACTGGTCAGTTGGTGAGGCCCCTCTCCGCTGGAGACTTCCTGGGGGACTCTCCACCCTTTCCCCAAGCAACTCAGTGGGGAGGTGGAAACAGACCAGAAATCTCCCAGTACAGAGATCAGAGGCCCCTGCTGATCCACCCCATTACCACTCACTTCCAAGACAGAATCAGACAAGGTGATCAGGGGAGAGGCCTGCTTCCCATGATACCAGGAGACTCATCAGAGTCAAGAGTCAGATGATATGAAGTCCTAGAGGTCAAGGTCTGGAGATTGAAGGTCAAACTGAAGAACTGGGTTTGAGTTTCAAGTCAGACTGAGAACCCATGCTAGAGTACAGAGATTAGGCCAAGGGCCCTACCTAGAGGTAAGAGGTTAGGGCATGGGCCTCAAGGGAGTGACAAGGTCAGGATGAGGGGATCCCAATCCTTGAAGTTTGCCTCAGACTCCACTGGGTAAGGGCCCTTTTACTCTGACCCACCTTCAGTTTGCTTCCATCCAGCTGCAGTAGCTGCGGGCCGTCCACCTGCCGTGCAGCAAATTCAGCAGCATACTGCTCCAGGTTGAGGCTGTGCAGCCACTGGCCCACCTGCTGACTGGTCCAGTGGTGGATGGTGGGGAGAGGTTCATCCAGGAACTGGGGTGGAGACCAAGGAGAGTGAGGGGGGAAGCTGTGGCCTGTGGCTGCACACCAGGCATAGTCAGAGGCCAGGGCCTGCTCACCTCATCCGAAGACTGGGACAGCGTGTGGTAGGGGTAGGAACACTTGGCCTCCTGCCGGGAACCACTCGGGATCTTGGGGCTGCTGCTGGGGGGTGTGGAGTCGTCACTCAGGGTGGATTCCTAGATGGAGGGAGTGCATGCCACTGAGGAGAAAGCTTGCCCCCAGCCCAAGGGAGTCTCCCCAGCCCACCCA